ATAGGTCCCTGTGGGTAGGACACTTTGTTTATGAAACACAACGTAATAAAAAATAAATAAAGTACTTCAATTGACAACGTTGCAATTCCTGACAAAGGTAATATTTATTCTTTTAAGCAGTACAAACAATGAAGTTAAACATCAAATTGAGAATTGTTTGAAGCGCTTCTAAGGTATATGTGTATATTAACTACTATGAGGGCAATATACGTATGTGCGAATGTGCATGTGTGAAATGATTGTAAAACGGTATTCTAACGTCACCGATACTTTCAAACATCAAATGCATTACGTAAACATGCTTACGTAAAATTCAAAAATTGTAATAATAATAATGTTTAATGTTAAACTGTTTTACTATTATTACAATATTTTTTTGTGTTCAGTTTTGTTTGAAATGTGTTGTAAGCTTTTGAGAATTAATTGAATTCAGCATATTTTTTTAATAAAAAGTCGAGGTCAGTACCCATTGGTGATCATCAAAGTAACACTAATGTCACATCACAACATTAAATGACGTCAAAATCGAAACCGGAAGCCCAATTCCAATGCATTGAAAAGGTGCTATGCTTCCATTTTCTTTTGATAGCTTCGCATCAACAAAAAACGTACAAATTTAAAGGCGGTCATGAGAAATAAATGTTTCAGTACATCAGTGATAAAATTCCTATCAAACAAACGTGTTGAACTCCTGAGTGTCTTTTAATGAAGTGTGCACAAATCGCTGGTTAATTCCATCGACATTGACAATATCCGTCCCTGACATGCGCACACGTTACCGGATATGGTCATTGCGTAAATGTTGGTGTGCCATCATCTCAGGTTGATTGTTAGTCTCGTCCAACCTCCACAACTTATTCAAGATCATATAATTCTTAGACGGTGTTTATGCTTTTAGTAGTCATCGTGAGGTTCATAGTATTTTAGCTGGATTTTGTTTTTTTTAATGAACACACGTCACCTGTTGATTGTAGGCCAATGGACGGGGTCCTCCTCTGGAGGAAATACCCAATGCAATGGCATCAGGAAGTTTAACAACCAATAATTACCAAACACGGCTCGAACTTTATCTCCAAAGGCTCTGGTATCATCGATGGAAATATTATTGACTACTTCAAAGGACGTTTTACCCTGTGAAATCCATCTGACGCTATCGCGTATCACTGAAGTCGTTAAAACAATAAACATCACAAGAAACCATAATCCTAGGACAAGGACCCCGACCTGGAAGTCGGAATATCCAAACATCCACCGGAAGAACGCTGCACAGGGAAACAAATCGACATAACCGCCCGGAGGCAGCACTTCCAGCAAAATGAAAGGAAGTGCATGGACAAAACCAATCACGGAGGACAAAAATGCCCAGAACACCATGACGGTGAAATGACGAAAGTTCCGGTAACCGACGCAGTTCCGGGCAAAGAAACAATGGTGATCACGTTTGAGTGAACACCGGTTACACAGCATGCAGTGGTGGCAGCGAGGGGGGCGTGGCTGATCACATATAGTACAATACTGCCACGACCAATAGTGACCGGAAGTGGAGCCAGTTTTGGTCCTGTCGGCTTCTCGTCGCTTTATTTGGCAGTCTTTATCGGTCACCATCTGTTAATGAATATTAGAAATGATACACAAGTAAAATCATGATGCTGATATGGATTAAGAAAAGATGTCAGCGCAGTTAAAAATATAGGAACAAATTGCTTGGAAAAGAGCTCTATTTTCAGTTTTCATCTAAATGGAACATTAAAGTTCGCATACACCTGCCAGTCAGTACACACCCTTACAATATCAAAACTTAAACTCCTTTGATATTTAAGATTAATTTTTCCTATATGTGGCTTGATACAGCAAGAGCCCTGCAATGTTGATCAATGGTATTATCGCAGTTAAATCACCATATCAACCGACTGCCAGTAAAAAGGGTATTCTAGCTTTTATAAATGATGTATAGCGGCTTCACAAATATTCAAGACGATCTAAATAGACATCAACCACTTGAATCGACCTTATTAGACATTATTTTGATTGATCAGTTATCGTCGGCATACCTAACTCTATGGCACCATAGGGCACAGTCACACTTACGCTCTCTGTACCCTAGAATATGTCATAGCAAAATTGAAGGCTCGCGGCTAACTATTTGATTTGTCTTCTGTAAAAAAAATGACCATTGAATATTACAGAGGAGCAACACCCGACTTCAAAGCCAGCCAATGTTACCGTTACGCGACCGCGATATTATTTTGATGTACATCAACGGATCGAACTAGCCTTATTCACCAGATTGTTTACACTGAGCCTTCGATTTTGCTATGACATATTCCAGGGGTGCAGAGATCGAAAGTGAGCATAACCCCTGCAGTATCAGGGAAACGACGAGTATCGTTATGTGACAAGTGACTAGTATCAGTATGCATTGTAAACGGTGTTTTGTAAAACATGCAACGGGTAAATGAACGCTGGTACATAAGTTGGTTAACTTGTTATTGTGTATAACCTATCGGCAGGTCTTATCACTACTGTCATTCGACATTCGAGGTGTAAAAGCACACTGAAATGGAGTATAAGTTTTATAACTTACTGGTCCCAAAGAACTGTGTAACTACGAGCTGAAACCCCAATTCTATCTGAGATTATGAACTTTGTTTGACGTACCTGCAAGACTGACTCAGTTTCCGGCAACTGTGTCCCGTGACGCTGAGGATTGTAGTTCGAGTCCACGGTATAAACGTACCACCAGTTAATCATAATTTCAAAGGTAAGAAAGCAAATAAGCGCCTGCATGACTGTGACCGTTAATCCCCCGTACCCTGCATACAGAAACGGGATAGCGTGGAACGTGCCGTAGTACCAAACGCCCGTCACTTCCGCTATGAACAAGAAAGGGCTATACCTATTGAAGATTCTTGGGTCAGCACCTGCCTCTCTTCTCTTGTTAAACCGCAATACTATTTTCTCGTGAAGAGTTAGGTCTTTATCCATGGCGGTGGCACGGAGTGAAGCAAATGTTTGAGTTTTCATATTTAATATCCGGGTGTACGGTTCACATTTACATACACGTTAACAGGTGTAACAGTGACCACGCTCCATTGTCTGAGAGACGTACCAGACAGACTATTAATACAGGGATCGATTATCACGGAATTAGATTATCTATTATTTATACCTGGATGATCACATCCTTATAGCCCTCTGACTCTACTATAGTAGTGTAGTGCAACATGTTTGTAAACACATGTATCAGTTTAAATGGTTGGTTTTGTACATAAATGCTATTTAAATTGATCTAATCTATTATCTACCCAATTTGTTATGACCCCAATCCACATTTGCCACGTTGGTACATACCATGTCGGTGACAGAACGAGGATTTCCTGTGAGAAGGAACAAACACATGCAGGTGGTACTCCCTTCATACAGTTGATCTTTTGAGCATGCTTGATTGTATGTGATCAATGCTCTTCAGGGAGATAAACAATGCGATTTCATTACAACTCTTTTTAAGAAAAATATGTTAATAAATATAAATGGTATATGAAAGACAATTCAAGTACAGGGTGGCCGCTGAAAAAAATCAACATTGACATTCTTAATTATGATAACATTGACGATATTTTTTAATAGGATTTAATAGTATATTAGTGGACGCAGGCATTGCTGCCTCTATATCCACATCAATGTAATTTGAGTAACAATGTGGTAAACGTAAAATAAGCCTATACGTAAGACGCTGTATGATCGTACTTCAATTCAAGATCTTTCCAGAATTCGTCCAAGTGTTCTCAAAGTCAAATAATAATATATTGCGTACCTGGTGTCATTCGGCAAAACGCGCCTTAATGGCGTCACAGGCAAATGATATTAAAGTACATTGGACGATTAAACTCATCGTTGCAGTTATTTTCGTGTTAGCTAAACCTGTATTAAGAGATCACCTGTAATAACAGACTGCCCGAAGGTTTTCTCTTATAACTGGATATTGTGTTGCACCTGCAGTTACATTACACGTTATATACTTCCCGAAGGTTTTCTCTTATAAATGGATATTGTGTTGCACCTGCGGTTATACTACACGTTATATACTTCCCGAAGGTTTTATCTTATAAATGGATATTGTGTTGCACCTGCGGTTACACTACCCGTTATATACTTTCCAAAGGTTTTCTCTTATAAATGGATATTGTGTTGCTCCTGCGGTTACACTACACGTTATATACTTTCCAAAGGTTTTCTCTTATAAATGGATATTGTGTTGCTCCTGCGGTTACACTACACGTTATATACTTTCCGAAGGTTTTCACTTATAAATGGATATTGTGTTGCACCTGCGGTTACACTAAACGTTATACACTTCCTGAAGGTTTTACTTCCCGAAGGTTTTCTCTTATAAATGGATATTGTGTTGCACCTGCGGTTACACTAAACGTTATACACTTCCTGAAGGTTTTACTTCCCGAAGGTTTTCTCTTATAAATGGATATTGAGTTGCACCTGCGGTTACATTAAACGTTATATACTTCCCAAAGGTTTTCTCTTATAAATGGATATTGTGTTGCACCTGCGGT